GTGCTAAATGACTTTCAGCTGAATTTCTGCCAGTATCTTATGGCTTTGTTATAAATTTGTAATATTTCTCGTGTGTATGAATGTAAGTAATCTGTCCATCAAGTTCTCCCTGGATGGGGCCTTGGATCAAACCAGTGCCCACTGCTGCTGGGTCAACCTTTGGTCAACCTTTGGTTAACAGCTCGTGCCCACTTTTTCACCTCATTCCTGTGTTTGCATTGTACTGWGTTGTGCTTGTCTCCAGGATGTAGAACAAGAATGTTTGTCCCAAAAATGGCTGCCTCCATCTGTACGACCTATTCTCCCGCCACAGCCTGTTTTTTCTCTCTGTGACTTCTTACCAACAGTCTTTGGTTGGCTTGATGGCTATGTGGCTATCAGTGTTTGAGAGACCATTTGGGCTTCTGCRCCACATTAAATGGGAGAAAGAAAGACAGATCACCAGCCCTGGCAGCAGAATTGATTCAGCTGGTGGAGTAAGAAGTCAGAACAAGGACATTTGTCTCAGGAAAGTGCTGCCCTACCTCCACATGGCCCCTGCTGCAGCCACATCCTGTTCTCACAGCACCTTCTTACCAAGAACCCTCAGGTGGCTCTACAACCATCCAGATATGGATTTGAGACATACATACGTGAGTCCCTCATTGCCTTAGGTTACACAGAAGGTCTAACCAAAAAAATCTTTATTCTATCACCATCTCCATAAGCTGTTAAACCAGGTAGGGCAGTKCTCTTTATCTTCAGTATGATTCAGCCCTGATAACAGCATCTGGGGGCAATCTCTGCWAATGGGCCACCAAGATCTCCGAGAATGGCTCCTAATATTCCATCATTGCATTGTGACATGACCTACCCAGAGAGGAGGAAYGGGACACCCCTACCGGCATATAAACAGGCTCTGGAAAATTTGGACACCACTTCCACAGGATTCCTGAGGAGAGGAGCTCTAGAACCCCTGCTTGACCACCAGAGACAGACTCAACCTGTCCTCAGGATCACCACTTTGAGAACACCAAATCMATCACTCCAATAGGACTGCAATCACCATTTTAACATTGAACCTTCACCACTTTGWGAAGACCATAACCATCACTCAAACGGGACTGCGATCACCCTTTAATATTGAACATTCCCCACTTTGAGAAGACCTTAACCGTCACTCAAACGTGACTGCAGCTACAAGCCTGTTCAACAGGGTGTCAGGTTTTACTCTCATTTTGTCAGTTTWAGCTGTTTCTTCTGTATTATTGCCTTTAGTTTAATTATTCCCATTAAACTGTAGTTTTGATTYAGAATCTCTCACAATGTATTTGTGTGGGGGTTATTCCTCAGCTTGTTTGCTTTCAAACTAGCAAACTCATCTTCTACAATTCTAGACC